ATGGGTGTGTGTGTGTGTGTAGGGTATATTCAAGCTAGAATCAGTTTACTAATTCTACTTTCGTAGACAACGATGGTTCAAATTAGTGCCTCGGTTGGGAGAAGCAGTAGGGTGTTCGACGTGTGTACAGTTCTTTGAAAAAAGGTGATAGTAAACTAGATATACAAGGCCTGGGAACGGCGATTTGATGCTGGTGACCTATTGTTAGTGTGCAATATCTGCGATTAAAGTCGAACAGATGAAGGGTGGAGCAAGTAATTTTAGTTAAAGGAGAAAACAGGAATGCTAGAATAGGGCTGAGGAAACGATTGCCCGGAAATGAGCCAGTAGCCGCAAGCTATATATTAGGTTTTGGGGCACCAATAGACAGCAGCCAAAACTGGTGCGCGAAAGTGCATGGTTAATGGTTGTAAAAACTGAACTGAACTGTATGGATTTACGTTGAACTGAAGCGAGAATACAATACAGGAGTTGGGAGAAGCAGTATTTCATTCAGAATAATTTTCAAGCTGAAGATAAACGTAAGTAAATGGCGTAACAAAACCGAGAACACGTTCGTAAGGTCTACCGTATGGCCGCTTTCAACCAAGTGACGTGCGATGGCCGAAGTCGGTCTGCGAGATGCGGTCAGAGTGTGTAGTGTGGGCTGAGTCATAGAGTCACGCACATACTTGGGGTTTACTAACCAGTTACATGTAGTTGTAAGTTTGGAATTACCTGCACCCAAACCGTTGCCTCAATTGTGTCTATACTCACCTAATTCGCTTCTTCGTGATTGCGGTTGTATTCCTGGAAGTTCTTCATTTATGTTGCAGTTTCCGTTTAGCTATTTTGATGTATGACGACCTTTGGTTGAAAATGTCTCCGTTCCGTGTGACCTATGGTAGTTGACTGGACGCAAATAGTTCATTGAAAAGCACCTCTGAAGTATTTTCATGAATTATTATTTTGTTGATTTTTTTCCACCCTAATTTATATTACATTACGCCATGTTTGGGATTTACGATAGTATTTAAGCGGTTAAACGCCAAGTGAAATTAGTACCCGTGAATTATGCTGTGGTGCTAGAAATCAGGTTTTACCCAGCCGATTGAGTGAGATTAGACACATGACCGAAGTTGGTTGAAGCTGTGCGAATATGTTCCAGAGTGGCTGATAACTTCCACCATCCTACGCAATTTACTTCGGTAATTGACCGACTTGTAAACCATACTCCTTATTTATTTTAAGAAATTGTGCTAATTGCGATTAAAAATTACTTCGCGCGTCATTCATTAAGTTTTCGCCATTGCTATAAGTGTTAGGTTTTCATTAGTCCTATCCTTATGTATATATATTTCATAAGAAGTAGTATATTTATATATGCGATACCAAGGTGGATACTCACATAGCTTTTTTTATCCTTCCTATGTTTCCCACCACATGTGATCCGGTCCGAAACAGGATCGTCACAATGCAGAAATGAAGGAACTGGAAAATGAAGAAATGTGGGAAGCATTCCTAAAGAGTAAGTCTATTTAATTTCGTATCAGTTACACTCTGGCTAGTTTTTCTTCACTCCTACCGATCTTGTCCTAACGCCTAGCGGTTTAATGTGTTATAATAATTCTAANGGGGGGGGGGAGATGGCCTTCTACGGTACACAATCTAGCTGTGCATACACACCTTTTCAAGCATTTAGATCTTATGAGAAATAGCAACAAGAACTTCACTGCTGTCGGTTCACTGCCACATCCTTCAATCTATCCAGCTAACCAGTTTCAGAGTCTTTTGGACTCCAACCTGGAAAGTGAGAGACGGAAAGTGGCCGTTTGTTCTACAAGCTCAGAGCTGTAGTATTTGAAAGTCTATGGAATAATTTGTCTGTCCCTGAACAAAGTGGTTGTGTAAACGGGGGCCAAAACGTTTTGGTCATTTGGATTCGAACACTTTCTGAGACATGAATTCCCTAAGTTGTTCTGATCAATACTGCGCTTTGCAAAATTGACATGTCCACACTTAATGGTTCAAATCCTAGATAGTTGTCCATTGATCCTACACAGTTATCAAATATTGGTGTTGGTGAGTTCTCCGAGCTCGGAGAACTCACTCATGAGATTTGTACGGTTCGTCGTAGTAAACTATACAATATCTTTACTTTCCCTAAGATCGCCTGACTTCATTGTGATTTCTCTCTCTCTCTCTGTCCTTCGTCTAGTTCTAAAACATCCGTTGACCATTTACTTGCTCCTATTCAATCTCTTCCAATTTGCCGGATTCTTATGTGTTTGGGGAACACTGATTTTGCATTGGCTTCAACCGAATTCTCCGGAATATTCAAATTGGTACGAATTTGTCGTGCCCCGATTGGTGCTGGTCCAGTTGGTTCAGCTTTTTGAACCACTTCATGCCATCCTCGGCTGGGTGCGCACCAATCCGCTTACATCGCTTGTCCAAGTAAGTTTGATCTCGTTTTTCAATCATCTTTTTCCAAACCTTAAACCTTTGCAGTTAATATCAAATGAGCTGAACGCACAGCGATTAGCGATGAGGTCCACTAAGTAGCCACTAAGCCGTCTTTTGATCATTTAATGACTTTTTTCCTTCATCTTAAGGCTTGTTTGTATTTGTACTACTAATTTTCCGGAGACGGGAATCTAAAGGTTACTGTGCAACGTTCAACATCTGCTGGCATCATTAATAACTGCATACTTCTTTCATTTGTTTATTATGTCATTTTCCTTTGACCATCCTCCACAACGCGGTGATTGTGGTCAAGCGGTTCGAATCGTTGTCGATCCGAAGTCTGGAATTCGAACCCCAATACAGCCACTTGATTTTAGTAGTAGGTGGCTTCGCTGTCGTCCGGTTCAATACCAAACTTATGTATTTCGTTATTATAAGCGTTGGTGTTAAGTTCCACCACTCGGACATTAAGTCCTTGATACCATGAGGTTCGTCCCTTCTGTTGTACACCACACGAAGATGGATAATAAGAGAAATATTTACTGTTGGTTTCTCCCTGTAGTCTCTATGAACGTTGACATAATCCAGAACGATTTAAAGCATATTGTTCTGCTTTAACCGACAGGATCAATTGTACTTTTCTTGTGTCTGTTGTTCATTGCGACAAATAAGGTTATATTTACAAACTTTTCCCGCGACTGTTTTGTGTCACATGTCCTAGACTATCACACATTTTCCGATAACAGTCGAGTGAGTTCTGTTTGATTTCCTAATTGCGACTACCGCTACGATAGCCTCCTCTGGGTCGTCCTTTCTTTGTCATTTAATTGGTTCTAAACAGTGAATAGTGATTATTTAAGATGTGGAGAAGTTTTAATTCGACAGACGATTCCCACTGAACAGAAAATTTGTACTTATCATTGACCGTAATCAGCACGTGGTGAGTTACACTCGTTCTGTTGTTTTGTAAACAGCACTTGTCTGTGAAC